GCGCATTTTATCCAACTTTAAAATTTGATTACATCGCGCTGAATCATTTCCCCAAAAAATCCTTTGGGAATCGAAAAGAAGCACCCTTCGCCTTCCAAAAGCCAGATTTTCGATGAATTATTTTGTGTAGCCACATACTTAAATAATGGGTAATTTTGACCTATTTTTAATCGAGTTAAAAGTAGGTCGGACAAATTTAATTATAATTTGTTAATAAAAATGCCAGAATGGCTCAAATGGCTATCAAAATATCTTTCGATATCGATCTTCAAGATGTGGTAGTTTTTATTGTTCTAGAATGTTTTATTTTGTTACGCGAAAGCTTCGAGATTTGCCTTAAATTTTGAGCTCCAAAAGCGGAATTTTGACCGAATTCGGTTATTATCGATTTTCTCGAAAATAAATCGATATTCAGCCAAACAAAGTATGCAGTGATTTGTTTCACATTAAGGTCTACCTAACATGAGAATATGAGCAGAATTGATTTTTCGGCTGTGGCCACAATATTTTGAAAATGTCTGACCGTTGTAACATTCGCTCTTAAATCCAAGACTGTAGCGTCTACGTAGAAAATAGTGCACTTTTGCGAAAATACACGAACTTTGTCCGCTTCTAACAAACACGGTTATTTGAAAAACGAAGTATCTGAAGAACCAAGTCTCCGAGAAAGTAGAACGAGAAAGAAAACCATTTTCTTCTAGATTTATATATTTTACAACAGTTTGGAGCATTAAAAAGTTCGCTGGCTGTCAAGAACTTTCAACCTCTCAGAAAGAAAACCACAGTTAATCAGTGGAAACGGATTAATAGGACGCCCCAGATGTTGACACTTTTACGGAAGAACTTGAACTTTGTCCGCATCTAAAGAGAACTGTCATTTGAAAAACAGAATCTCCGAGAAAGACGATCAAGAAACTATAGTTGACCAGAAGCTAATTTGCTCCTGATTTACGTTATTACTCCGGACAATTCTCAGAAGAGTGTCCGACCGGTGTGTGGAAGGTCATAGGTTCGACTCCTGTTGGGAGAATTCGGAATTTTTTTCCGAGTAGCTGGTGTCACTATGAGAGATCTTAAACAACTTTCTCAAAGATATATACCATCATTTATTTAATTTCCATTGTTACTTAATAATCGGTGTTGAGCCATTAACTAATATTGCAACATTTTTTATCCAAGAAATTATTGTAGGGTACCTGGACAACCATAGATCTCTAGTCTCATTGATATTTGACTGTGCCACTCTATCGGAGTTACCCGGATGTAACGTGCAGTGAATGGCGGGTTCAAAATGTTGTAAACAGCTGTTTCGCTGTCGTCATTTCCATCAAAGACCTAAACGTAATAGGAAAGAAAACAATTACGAGTTTTTTAGTGGTTGACGTTTCAGAGCCAAGAAACGTCTTTGATCTAAGAGAAGCATTTCCCCATACATGTGTCTCTACCAATTCGATCCATTGATATATATTTGAAATTTATTTAATTTTCAGTCCATAGCTGAGCTATTTTAAGAGCGCTACCTGATTGGTCAGTTCGAGTAACGTAATGTCGGAGCCTCGATTTGAAGGAAACAAAAACAACTTTCACAGCAGCATGGCTCGAAACTATTAAATTTCACAAAATTATCAGGGGCATGGGAAATCCTACTCTTAGATCATCCTCTCTTGTTTTGATATACGATTAGTCCTTCCTCTTGACGAAAGAATAACCTGTGTAAAGTTCGGAAAGTAACGGTATTTTTCAGATTCCTCAATAACGAGGTAACAAGTCCCTGAATTAGAAGTGGCAAGGCCTAGCCCCAAGCCAAAAGCTCTTGAAATAACGTCATTTGGCAACAATCCTTTAACCAGGTGAAGCTTTAGGTAAAGATGATAAATTTATAATTTAATCATTTCTTTCGTACGGTAGAAGGTATTTTACGAAAAATTCAAATAAGCTTTATACTGAAAGGAACAACAAATTTGGGCAACCAAGATTATCTTGTCAATTGCGCGATGCACTTTTTTCAACGTAGCTAGACGCTGCCGATTGATAACATGGCCTTACCTTGGCGGAACTTTCACGTGGTTCCTTATAGAACTTGAAGGACACTTCATCATCAGTGTACTGTAACCTGTATTTGGTTACCCACTGGTCGTATCCATTTCTCCCCTGAGTCGCTACACGTGTCACACGGGTGTAATCCACCTGAAGCCATTGGTTAAGATCACTTTTGAGAGGTAACCACCCTCCTTGCTTGATTCCACTAATCTTCATATTCAATCTGCCTCGTTCTGGGCGCACGGTTGTCATCCTGTTGTGACGATGCGCTTATTTGGTCATCAGTGATCGATCCACTTTCCCATACCAACAGCTGCTATGCAATCTGAGTTGATTTAATAGAGAGGGTTTCAATTGAGTGTCGAAACAATTTTGCATTGCTATGCTACGTGATTGGCTTAAAAACTCGCGCCATGCACCCACTCAACCAATCAGATCTAAAAACAATCGCGACTTGGTCACACGCGTTAACCTGCGCTGGCGCCGGTTAGGTGTATTTGCTTCGAGTTCTCGTTAGTTCCTTTTGTTGTTCACGTTTGTTATGATTAGCCATTGTAATTTCTTAATGTAACTACTTACTTAGATAATGTTAACGAACATGCATCTAAGAAGCAGATTTAAGCAAGGGTCGATAGTAAACTAGACGATAGCCTGTTCCAGGCGTTCGGATAGTGGGAGAGTGACGCGAAAAGATGCGCTAAGCGCGAAGACTATCCGAACGCCTGGAACAGGCTTAGCCTAACTAGACGAGCATCATCTTGAAAAAGTTTCAACAGGCTGTTAAACGTGATTACAAAATTGTAGTTTGTATTCTCCTTTTGCTAATCATGCAACGACAATACCCTGGATGGCTGTTGCAGACTCGCTATTTCTTAATTTAATTCGATTAACAGAAATCGTCGGAACACACCTGGACAACCAAATAGCTCTATCCTCATAGATATATGATTTTCCACTGCGTTGGCATAACTCGGATGTAGCGTTCTGTGATTGGCGGACTCAAAGTGTTATACACAACGGTGTCACTGTCTTGATTTCCTTGGAACACCTGAAAGACAAACAATTCTTTCTTTAAGCCCTCGCTAAACGGAGTCGCAAGTTTTGAAATACGAACTTACGTACTGAGACTTGAATTAGGTAAAAATAATAATAAAAAAAGGAATCGTAAAAGAAAGTAAGTCGTCTCGCAAGCACATGCAAGACGTAAAAACGCCATTTTGCATTTCATATTTTCCGGAAGAGAGAGTTCTAATTACTTCATGCTATGGAAACCGGAGTTATGTGTCGGCACTGACCAGCTTCTTCGATCCTTAGGGTTGGACTTGAAGCTGTTTGATTTGCAATTATTGGTGGTGTTTATGTCATAATACACCAACAACTGTGTTTCACAAAGTTAAACGTATGAATACCTTTGCTGAGCTGTCGCCAACATCCTTCTTAAACTGAAAGGTCACTCCATCATCACTGTACTGTAACTTGTATCTGGTCACCCACTCGTCGTGCCCATTCCTCCCCTGAGTCGCTACACGTGTCACTGTGGTGTAACTACCAAGATCCACCTGAAGCCATTGATTATGATCATTACTAAGAGCTGACCAGCCTCCAGCCTTGCTTCCATCTGCTTTAAAATGTAACCTGGCCTGTACTGCGGAATGGTTGCCATCCAATTGTGAAGAGGTGCTTATTTGTGCATCAGAAATTGATTTACTTTCCATGCCAAGAGGTGCTATACAACCTATAATTTAAAAAAATATTTAAGAAATTATCGGGTTAAAAGTTTAAAACAGCGAGCTCTCGACTGCAATTTTAGATATCTTTATCCTTAGAAGATTGCAGTCAGGCAATCGAAAGCTAACCTGCCTGTGACAAGACGTTGACTGGAGAATAGCGCGCGAGTTGGAGGGGCGCGTACGAGGAAGGAAATTCGTGAGGTTTGAAAAAGGGAGAGCGCGCCCCCTTCAACGCATCTACATATTAACAAAGAATACAAAAAAGCATTGAGTACGCGTAGTTTCTTAGATGGACACCAAAATAGCCTGCTATTGACCCGACGTGCTCTCGTGTGGGGGTAGTCTATTTGGTGGTGCGTATGTTTCCCCTTTTAACTCGTGAATGCGAAAGCAATGAACGGGTTATCATCGACATTTGGTGGACAAATTTTATTATTTCGGTCGATGGGCTGTAAACTTTAATCGCGCTATTAATTTATGCATATTAATTTATGCATATTAATTTATGAATATTAATTTATGTATATTAATTTATTAATTCACGAGTAAGCTCAAAGGAACCGTTGATTTATTCCTCGTTTAACTTTAATCCCCTTTCATAAAAATTCACAAATACTGCTGATAATTGAACAATACCTGGACAACCATAGATCTCTATCCTCATTGAAATACGCTTGTCCCACTGTAGCAGGCAATATCCGAATGTAGCGTGTTGTGATTGGCTGGATCAGTTTATTGTATACAATGGTTATACTGTCTTTATTTCCACTGAACACCTTCACATTGAAACGAAAAAAAAATAACAACTGAGATGTTTTAATTTTGAGTTGAAATCGAAGCGCCATCTTGGATTTTAAGGCCTGAAAGACACTGGGGACGAGGTTATTAAAGTTGGGCGGAGTTAAGGAAACTGCATTGTGCTCTTCATTGTTAACCGACTACAGCCGACTTAGAATTACTCAGTTACCCTGGGTAGAACCGTTTGTTTTTCCAAATCTCTAAACACTTGAATGTTTTCCTATTTTTACTTTTCCCCCTCCCCTTCCCGCTCCCCCCCTCCCCCCTCACCCCCTAAAAAAATAGCGAAAACCCTTGTGAGCGCTGCGAAAGTTTACACGTCCGTATGACGTTATAGGAGACATGTTGTTCAGTCAATTCTTCTAGACGGGTTTCCTAAACTAGTTATGTGTGAGAAAGATGTTTTAAAATTAGTCAGCGACACAAGCTACTTGGAAAAAATTGGCGAGTCGAACCTATGACCTTCCGCACACCGGTCGGACGCTCTACCACTGAGCTACAGGAGACTTGTGGGAGCTTAAGTCATATTGAATGTAACTTTGGAACTTGAATATACCTAGCCGAAGTGTCTCTTGGTTCCTGATAAAAATGGAAGATAATTCCTTCATCACTATACTGTAACCTGTATCTGGCTACCCAGCCGCGGCTTAAACCAGTGATAGCGGCCTAACAAGTGATAGCGGCTTAACCAGTGATAATATGATTGTCCCTGAGTTGCAACACGTGTCACAGTTGTGTAAGTACCCAGATCCACCTGAAGCCATTGCTTGAGGTCTTGACCATTCTTACCAGCAGTCCAACCTGCCTGTGCGTAATTCAACCTGCCATGACTTGCGACATGATTACCATCCCATTGTGAAGAGGCGGTTATTTGGGCATCAGAGATCGCTCTATTTTCCATTCCAAGAGGTGATATGCAACCTAAAACGAAGAAAACAATCTGTAGGCAAGTGTTGTCTGTCTACAAGCCTAGTGGCTTATCAGGCCGGCGCTTAACTCCGCTTTCCATAGCATGAAGCAACTTGGAGTACTACTCCGTCCCCTGGTCCATTGCAAGTAGCCCCCTGATCATACCTGACATACGGTAAGCGCGCGCATTATACAATCTATGCCTCTCTTTCAACAATAACGCTCAGAGTACCGAGTTTGAAGTAACGAAGTTTACGAAAAGTGCCCCGTCCAGAATAAGCGTTCTGTCACCAATAAGCGCCCTTCGCTCTCAAATGATGAAGAAAACATCAACCTCACCCCAGGGTCTTTCAGGCGGCCTTTCAGGCGGGCCGTAAATCCAAGATGGCGGACACACCGAGATCAGCCGCCATCTTGAAAAGCAACGCTGAGAAAAAAACCTATGTACAAGGTTGAGGATTTATCCGGTAGATTGTACGCTAACAATAGTGAGAGATCATTATAGGATACCTCGACAGCCATATAGCTCCATTCTCATTGATATATGACCGTGCCACGTCACTGGCCTCAGTTTGATGTAGCGTGCTGTGATTGGTGGGCTCAATTGGTTGTACACAACTGTGTTACTGTCTTGATTTCCGGTAAAACACCTAGACATAACAGAAACGCTAAGACAGATACATGTATAGGTAAAGGTAAAATCAGCACTCGAAGGCCAAAGCAACCAACACCGCCGGAGCTTATCTCGGTTTATATAGCATAAGTGACTAAGAGTATTGCTACCCCCCCCCCCCCCCCCCCCCCCCTCTGAATGGGATGCTAGTCCATCGCAGGTTACCCCCCAATATTTTCTCAGGTTGACCTTTCAGTCTGCCTGTACCCATTTATACTCGTGGGTGGAGAGAGGCACTGTGAGAGTAAAGTGCCTTGCCCAAGAACACAACACAATGAACCCAGTCAGCGCTCGAACCCAGACCGCTCGATCCAGAGTCCAACACACCGCTACCATTAGGCCACTCCGTCTCTCACCTATGACAGGTAGAGGACATTATAGTTTTCTAGGTTAAACTGGAAAATGGTTGGAATGAGTCTAGCCAGGGACTACAGTCACCCGGACGATCACACAAGATTAACTACTGATACTCCTGGGTTCAAACCATTTACCATGCCAAGGAAGTATCACACTAAAAGCACTAGCTTCATTTCTTTTTTACATTTGAAAAGATTCTCCGCATTAGCGTCCGCATTGTGAGGATACATATCTTCTATGAACATTTAAAAACAAGAAGTCTGTTTAAGCCTGGAAGGATAGACACGGAACGAACGGAATGTATTGCTATTTGTAACAAGGCCGGCAGTAATACTTTAATTGCTAAAGCGATGACTAAGTGCTATATAAGTTAGTATTATTATTATTATTATTATTATTATTATCATTAAAGGTTGGACGTGCACTGACAGCTGACTATGCCTTGTTAATTATACAAAATGGTAGAGAACACTTACCGCTTGAAAGGAGATTGGGCTACTCTATTCTAAAGGACAGACGCATGGCTTTATTCATATCAAGTTTCCATTTTCTTTTGATTGACTATAAGCGCATGTGAACATATCGATATTATATTCTAAACCTAATTTTATTTCATTATATTTAACAATTAGACTGCGAGCTTGCATGAGGTTTCTATCGGCAGATAGTTGCATTAGCGAGGGTTGAAGCCCAGAATCAACTATCCGAAAGTCAACCAGTGGCTGATCTATTAACCCTTAACATACCAAAATTCGCACTGAAAAACGCATTTTTGGGTCACGAAACCCGTTTTCTTGGTGCTGTCACCCGAAATTTGGCTAACCGTTGCTACAAATGCCGTTTGGATAACTAGGGGAAGATTTTAAAAAGGATTTAGGGCAAAAACGTTTGATTTTATCGTTGGCCAAAGTGCATAGCACTCCTTCTCTCTTTTCCTTTCCTTTTACTACCCCTTTCTTTTCTTTCTATCTTCGGCGCTTAATACACTTCCTATCAGCTGGAAAAGTTTTGACCTAACATTTTAAGGGAGCTGAAAAATTAACCTGGAAGTATGTTGGGTGTGAGAGCCAAATTTGCCACTGATTTTTCGACAAAAATTGAACAGGTTTTTCCAGCATAACTCTGGAAGAATTTGTTAGATTTCCAAAATTGATGCACGGTTACAAAGATCCATCCTTTCTGCATCAGATGTGTCAAACTAATCTCGTCACGTGTTAGTTGATTACGTCACAAGGGCTTTGATGTGTAAGACTCCAAACTACGCATATATGCGACGTCAAGGGTTAAACATAGAATATCGATAAAAACTGATTTTTGACGGTTTTGTTTAATTGGTGGTTTTCATTTGCTTGCATGAACAACATCAGAAAATTAACCGGTAAAAGAACTGGCAAAAAGTTTTTTTTCCAAATTATAGCTTTGTAGCGTTTTTCATAACCGAGTTATTTCCAAACTACATTGTAATTTTCAGAAAATTACGGTGTTTAGTATGCCGCCGCCATGTTGTGTCCTTCAGAGGGCACAAATATGGCGCCATAAAATTGCACAAAAGTAGAGTAGATTCTACCGTCAATATCATTAGCTTTCACTTCAAATATGTTTTAAACATCACTTCAAAATTATTATCACGTCTGAAAATTTAAAAATGATATAAAAATATCCGTTTTTGTGACAGTTCAGAAACACGTTCATCCGGACATCACAAATTTCAAATAGCTTTATTTCCAAAAGGAATCACTGGATCGATACCAAACTTTGCATAGAGATTAATGATTCCCATGTCTAGAAGATATAAAAAGAATAGCTTTTTTAGGATTAACAGTTTAGATTTTAGAATTTTGATGACGTCAGATGAAAACAAAGAATACTTTACGGCCGTAATGCACAAAAACCTGCGCCGTGCTCAGAGGGCCTATCGATCGATAGTAGGTGTCCTTTATAAGCTATTGAGGGCAGTAACCCTCTCCCCGGAGTTTATACCTTTGCTGAGTTGTTCCCTGGTTCCTTGTAAAATTGGAAGATCACTCCGTCAACGCTGTACTGTAAGTTAAATTTGGTTATCCACCGTAGCCATCTGTTTGAATTCCTCCCCTGAGTCGCAACACGTGTTACTCTGGTATAACTACCAAGATCCACCTGAAGCCATTGATTAAGATCATTTCTACGAGTTGACCATCCTCCTTGCTTGCTTCCCTGTTGCTTGAAATGCAGCCTCCCCTGTTTAGCGGCATGATTGGCATTCCAATGTGAAGACGCGCTTATTTGGGCATCGGAGATTGCTCTACTCTCCATTCCAAGAGCTCCTTCACATTTGGAATTAGTTGTCAAAAAAGAAAGAAGTATCGGAATAGTTAATATATCTGATACGTAAAAATCGCGATTAGCTGTTCCTACAAACACAAGTCCATAACCATAAGTTATGTCATAACTTATAATTATAAAACTATTTTAATACTACAAAAATAGAATAGGCCAATATTTTGATAAGTAGAACTAGTCTTCTACAGGTGTGCTATAAAATTTAACGGCTCCTAAAATTTGATTTTACAATATAAGTACAAATGGCTAATTAGACATGTTAATATCCGGTTACTACGATATGGACATGATAAATAAAAAGTAAATGAATACACGCAAAATAAATTAAAGTTAATTCCAGTCCGTACTGCGCATGCTCAGGGTTTGTCTACATTTTTGTTTTGAATTTGTTGATACGTTACACTTTGGTGTGATAGCGTACATGAAGTTGTTGTGAAGTTTTTGAGTCCGCCATTACGTGTCGTTGAGTTCCTGAATGCTCGATGAGCTGAAACGTCGGTTTGGGATAACGCCGAGGTTCTTCTACTCGTTATTATTGTTTGGCAAGGATATCTTGCGGTAATAATGAAGAAAAATGTAAGTTTGTACAACAATTTAGTATTTACATCGGCGTTCGTATGCGACTCATAAACATAGCAGGCGAAGATTGCGCAGTACGGACTGTAAAATAAAATAAATTAGAATTCAGAATAACCTCTACATTGTTCATTACTGTTCACTGCGTCTATTGAGGCCATTTGGTCTCTTGCTTTACGGCCGGAAGTATTTTTCATTGGTAATTATTCCAGAGGGATGAGCTTCGTGTATGTTGAGTGAAAAACTAGTATCTAGCTACAATTGTTTGCATAAAGAGTTGAGACACTCTTCGTTTAAGAGGACAACTTCAGACATTTTAAAAATTATACCTTGTACACCCCCTCCCCCCCTTATCAACGTTGTCAAAATGTCGGGAATACATTCAACCATATAGGAAACAACACTGAAAGGGGGAGGGGGGGGCTAGAAATGAAATTATTTGTTTATTTTTCAAACGAAGACATGCTTTTGACATGAAATCCTGTTTTTGAAGAGAGTGTCTCAACCATTTTGCAACTCATTGTAGATACCGTTGGTTTCTCTTTCGAAATCATGAAAGGAGCATGGGGTGAGGGTTTGGTACGAGAAGGGATTGGGACGAGACGAGGGTGTGGCGCGCGCGAGAAGGAAACGAACGTCTTTTCTCGTCTCGTCTCGCCCCAACCC